CCAGCTTCAGGCACAAACCACTGGTTGAAAAGTTCCCTTTTTCCTTTAGTCTGTCCACAGCTCTCTTTTCAAATGCCAATGTCCAGAGCACTCAAAGCACTGGGTGGGGTTTATCTTTTCAAATAACTTCTTTGTAGGCATGTCCTACACCCAGTTAAAGATATAATTTAATGGCTGAAGGCAAGCAGACTTACAAACTCTCTATTTTTACTTCCCAATAATCAATCATTTCTGTCACATTATATCAATAACAGTAGGCAAAAGAAAACAGTGCAAACCCAGTACAGCCAGAACCTAAACTCAATTCTTAAGTCAAATTTAATCCTTACCTAAACTACTCATTCATATGTAATATGGCCTTAGGCCTCTGCCTGCATCCAGCCAGGGCTGGGCCTTCGGCTGGCCATCTCGACTAAGCACATGGTTTCAGAGAAGTTCAAGGGGCCATTTTGCTCCCCAGGCTCAAAATCTACATTTACTGTTCATTTTCACTATTTCAGACAGGAATAACCAAAAACAATGTCTAGGAAGCAAAACCTTCACTTCCCATGTTTTTTCCAGTAACCCCGTCCCCCCCCACCCCCCCAGTAAATTGCAAGGGCATATCTGACCTCCTGCTAGTCAAAGCAGAAAATTGCTGTAAAGCAGAGGGCGAGTGAGCACCCACTCCCCATCTTCATAATCTGTTTCTCTTGTACCCCACTCTCAAGGTACCATAATGATCTGGACTGGGTTGACTAGAGAACAAATCCAGAGACACTCATATATGCACAGGAAAGAGCCTTACATCAAAGGGTAATTGTCTATTGAGAAAACATCCCAGCCCAGTCCAGATCAAGACCTTAAGTCTGATAATTAGCCCGTAAGTACGGTACTAGTCCATGTTTATCTTCAGACTCACACAGTTACATGGAATGATGCCGAATGCAGGAAGATAACAGGCCGGTGGGTGAAGTCTTGTGGATCCAATGGCGGTGGAAGCTTCACAGGGCTGGCTCAGGTCTCCACAGAGCTCGATGTGTCTTGTCAACAAGGTGAAGCAGTAAGCGAGCAAGTTCCCAGAATCATGAAGGCCACGCCCACAAGGACGCATCATCAGGCTGTGGCTTGACGGACAGGCTAGACCCCACCCCTGCACTTATCAAGGTGACATGAAATAACTGACACAAGTAGTGAAAGAGAAAAGGCATTTTGGATTGAGGTGGAGGGTCCCTGGCTCTGTTGGGTGTGGTATAACTAACTGGAAGGATCAGAGAAATAACCCCAAGTCAACAATTCTTTAGTTTTTAGCCTAAAGAATGATCCAGAGAAGCCTCTAAAGATGCCCACCCCTTCCTGGGCGACAGCAAGTTTCAGCCTAAAGAATGGTCCAGAGAAGCCTCTGAAGATGCTCCCAACCCCCGGGACAGCAAGTTTCAGCCCAAATAATGGTCTAGAGGAGGCTCAGGACACAGGATCCTAGACAACTGCAAGAGTTTCAGCCTAAAAAATGGTCCAGAAAAGCCTCTGAAGATGTCCCACTTCCTGGAGGACAGCAAGAGTTTCGGCCCAAAGAAGGCTCAGGAAATAGCTCCGGTGGAGGGTAAAAATCAGGAGCCATGCTGTGAAAGAAGACCCAAAGAAACTGCAGCCCTGAAGACCCTCAGGGGCAAAAGGCCAAGAAACCAAAAGTTAAAAAGGACGCAGAATCCCAGAATCAGAATAGACCCAGGCCAGCAGTCTGGAATTCTTATTATGATAAAATTAAATGAATGATTATGGGGAGAATTATCATCTTATGGTATTGCGTCTTTTCCTCCATACACATCCTTATAAAGATTTTAATCCACTTAAGAGCTAACAGGTTAGTCACCTCAGTAAATTGACAAACCAAACTCATTGCTGTGGAGTCTATCCTGATTCACGGAATAGAGCTGCCCCAGTGAGTTTCCGAGACTGTAAATCTTTACAGGAGAAGAAAGACGTGTGTTTCTCTGGCAGAACAGCTGGTGGCTTCAAACTATAGACCTTTCAGTTAGTAGCCCAACACAATACCCACTATGCCACCAAGGCTCCTTATAATTGCAGAAGACACTAAACTCTTGATCAGAGAAAAAGGATCATTTGTTACTCAGCAACAGCATTAGCTACAGTACTATCATTTGCGCCAGTCCCCCGTATTAATTCCCTTTGGACAACACAAGTCATGTGATAGCTACACATGACTTACACAGGAAAAACATTGACTTACACAATAACAACCCAACACCTCACAATTCCCCAATCTTAAAAGGCAACTCCCAGGAAACATGCCTAACCTTTGCCCATAATGGGAAACATTGTCTCTGACTTCCAAAATGATTTGCTATTAAAACTTCCTCGTAAAGACAATTCTGAACAAAGCTGCCAGTTCCAATGAGCAGATGACATGTAGAAACCTGTAGAGAAAGAACTTTCTTCCAATAATGCCGCCCCCTCATTTGTCTGCTCTCTTGACTTCTGGTCGTCTCTTACCAGCATTTAACTAGAGGTTCTAGCAACAGGACTCAAAACAACAGAACTAAGTCAACCGGAAGTATTGACCTCAAACATGCCCACCCAAGGTTCCAGGTTCAACCAGCTGAAAAACCTTATAACTCATAAAGCCTACCTTAGAAAGCCCAAGAGGTTTCTCCTTAAATTTCCGTATTGACCATTCCTCTTTGTCTTCTAACACATCAATCCAGTTACAGTGGAATTTATCAGTTGCATACACTTCACCTTGGTGTCCAAGAGAAAATGTCTAATGACACTCTTATTCATAGCAACCCTCATCAGTGAGTTCAGGATGAAGTGATTACCTTCCAGTGTGTACTTGGGAAGCCTATTTGAAGTGTTTTGGGAAAGCGAGGCACGTTAATGCCTGGTTTCTACATAAGAAGTACAATCTGAATACATGGTACCCAGCTCTCTTGGTCTTCGTTTTGTTGTGTTCACATGTATTGAGTTATTGAATCTAGGTCCCGGATAGGGACCTACATTAGTTCAGGCACAGTTTGAAACACTCTCTGACTAAGATTCTCAATTTGGTTATAATTGAGTATAGCTTTAGAAACCTTAGAGCGTTAGTCCAAACTGTTCTTTTTGCCATGCCATCCACCAGATAGCACTTGCTACCCCATGGAGTGACTAGGTAAGATCTGTGGGAATGGGGCTAGGAAAGCTATCCAAAGGTATTGGCAAGTGTTTGCAGTAATGTTACTTTAATCGCAGTTAAATCCCACTCTGCAGTCTGACAATGGATGCAATCTGAGCTTTCAATGAAATGTCAGGTGCTTACAACAACTTGGGAAAGCCACACCAGGACAGTTTTCTTTGAAAGACAAATTATCATTAATATTTTTCCCTACCATTTGTCCCTCCACCTAATACTTCCTGCATCCGGAAGCATCAAAAGAAGATGGGAAGAATGCACAGTCACTGTACCAAAAAGAACTAAGCGACATTCTACTGTGCCCTGACGTAGCATCTGAGCAGAACCAGCAGTACTGAAGGAAGAAATTCAAGCTGCGCTGAGAGCATGAGGCAAAAACAAGGTCCAGGAGTTGATGGGCTCCCACTGGAAATGTTTCCACATGCTGGTGAAGCACGGGAGCACTGTGCCAGGAACTTTGGAAGACAGCTCCGTGGCCAACTGACTGGCAGAAATCCCTATTTGTACCAATTGCAAAGAAAGGTGACCCAACAGAATGCTCAAGCTATAAAACAATATCATTAATATCCCATGCCAGTAAAATAATGCTGAAAGTTGTCCAACATTGGTTGCAGCAGGACATTGGCAGGGAACTGCCAGAAGTTCAGGCTGGATTCAGAAGAGGAGATGGAACAAGGGCTATCATTGCTGATGTCAGATGGATCTTGGCTCAAAGCAGGGAATACTAGAAATATGTTTACTTGCATACACAATATACTCTTTGTGAATCAGGGATTATTGAGTCTGTGACTTTACTTCTGGAAATGCAATGGAATAGGACGTTTACTCCAGATGGATAGCTGGCACTCTTTCACGTAAAGCCGAGGGCCACTCTGGCCAGACTGGCTGCACTCTCAAATAAATGATTTCCATTCGACAAAGGTTTGGGGGCTTTTCTCACTTAGTTATAGTTTCCGGGATTATCAAAGCAGAAAATCAGGCCTTCATGAGGGAACTTAGATTGAAATATTAGTGAGGAGATATTTTAGCTTTATCACTATTTGGGTTTTAATATATTTATGTGATATTTATTTTATTGAAATGTGATAATGTTTCTAATACTATTACAATCGCCTATATCAGCAGTTCTCAACCTGTGGGCCGTGACCCCTTTGGAGGTCGAATGACCCTTTCACAGGGGCCACCTGATACATAACAGCAGCAAAATTACAGTGCTGAAGTAGCAACAAAAATAATGTGATGGTTGGGGTCACCACATCATAAGGAACTGTATGAAAGGGTCACAGCATTCGGAAGGTTGCGATCACTGAACTCAGTGATACGGTGAAGACACAAACTAAGGCAGGTGTAGTTGGGATGAAGACAAGAAAGTGGATTCAAGACGAAGTTTTGTCAGAGATGAGGGTATAGAAGTCATTAGACTCTAGAACATAGTAAAGGGCAATTCAAATGGGTGAGGTTGGCTAGGGAGACGTCTAGAAAGAAGAAGAGGAAGAGAACAACCCCAGAAGTTTTACATTGAATGAAAAACCAAAGCGCAAGAGAGAGAAAGAAAAGGAAGAAATCCCAGATGTGACAGAGGCAATATCTGAAAGGAAAAGGTGAAAAATGAGATAGATAGCCAAATATTAGGCTTGAAAAGTATGATTTAAATTCTAAAATTGAGATACTTCTGCCAATTGTAATAGTGCTTACTCAACAATGGCAGGCAGATAATAATGGGCTGTATCATAATTTGAAGGAATGGTAAGTGATTGTAGTCAGAGGTATCATTCTCAATCAAAAGTGCATCGTTTACAAATGAATGAATCTGGACATTTTGTTGTAGGCTTGCACTGGGGTGATGTTAGTGGGCCCAACATGTGGAGGAAAGACAACAGTCAGAAGAATTCTAGAAAAAGCTTTGATAATTTTACCAGTTGTCGAGAGCTTACCAAACGAAGAAAGGAAATCTTTTTCAAAGGTAATGTTCTATTGACTAAATTGTATCCCCCTTCAGATATTACTTTCATACTTCAGCATTACTTGTTAAATTTATTGCTAGGATTTTGTAGGTATAGTCATTACAGTATATGGGAATTTTTTTTCCAATTAGATATCAAGATAATCATTGCTAATGTAAAATAAAATGATCAATTGTACATTTATTTTGAATCTAGCACTAAATAATAGATTTTTATGTTGTAGTTAAATTAGAAGTGATCAAGGAAAATAACTCTGTCCTTTGTTCAGTATTCATATGATTTTATTGTTTTCTTAATTCACTTTCCATGACAAAGTTAACTATAATTCCTTGTTCCTTATGTTATCTGGGCTGCAGTCAATATTTCTCTCCACTTGATGTGGGATTCTCACTTAGCCTCTGGTAAATCTTCTTAATCATATTTTGGAAATTGTATTCAATCCCTATAAATCTTTGGTTTTCAATTGATATCATTTGTTAAATTATTTTCAATGTTTCTTTTTCTCTTTATGTTGATTAATGTAAATATCTATACTGGCAGATTTACTAATGTTAAACTGTGCTTGAATTCCTCAAAGACCCCCTTTGTAGTCATAGTTTTTTTCCCCAATATAAAGTTAGACTCTAAAAATAGTATGTACTTCAGTTCTCTTATACAAAAATTTAGTGTTGGTAATTTATTTCTTCAGTCTCAAAAAATAAGGTTCTTAGCTATGTGGAATTTTTTTCAGTCAGTGTGCAATGTCCTGCTTTAATTTTATTAATGTAGTGATTCATAATCCTTAATTCTTTCCTCTCTAAACCCCCTTCCCAAAAGATCTAAACCGGTTATTAGGAAATATAATTTTTTTAATTAAATAATCATTTTATTAGGGGCTCCTACAACTCATCACAATCTGTATATACGTCATTTGTGTCCAGCACATTAGTGCATATGTTGACTTCATCATTCTTACAACACCCACTTTCCACTTGAGTACCTGGTGTCAGCTCATTTTTCCCCCTCCCTCCCCGCTCCTCCCTCTTCCTGAACCCCTGATAATTTATAATTTATAATTATTTTATCATATCTTATCCCATCCAACGTCTCCCTCACCCACTTCTCCACTGTCCATCCCCCAGAGAGGAGGCCACATGTAGACCTTGTCCTCTGTTCCCCCTTTCTCCCTCTCCTTCCCTCTACCCTCCCGCCATCAGCACTCTCTCCACTGGTCCTGGGGGCTCATCTGACCTGGGTTCACTGTATTTCCAGTTCCTATCTGTGCCAGTGCACCTCCTCCAGTCCAGCCGGATATGTAAGGTAGAATTGGGATCATGGTAGTGGGGTGGAGGAAGCATTTAAGAACTAGAGGAAAATTACATATTTCATCATTACTACACTGCACTCTGATTTGCTCCTCTCCTCCCCATAGCCCTTTTGCAAGGGGATGTCCAATTTCCCCTGGATGAGCTCTGGGTCCCCACTCTGCACTCCCCCTCATTCACAATGTTATGTTTTGTTTTGTTTTGTTTTGTTTTTGATCTTTGATGCCTGATACCTGACCCCTTCGCTGCCTTGTCATCTTACAGGCTGGTGTGCTTCTTCCATGTGGGCTTTGTTGTTTCTCAGTTAGATGGCCCTTGTTTATATTCCAGCATGTGGGACCCCAGATTCTGTGTAATTTGACAGCTTGGCACCATCAGCTTTCTTCACCGCATTTGCTTATGTACCCGCTTTGTCTTCAGCATTCGTGTCGGGGTAGGCTGGTGTGCTTCTTCCTTGTGGGTTTTGTTGTTTCTTAGCTAGATGGCCGCCTGTTTGTCTTCAAGCCTTTAAGACCCCAGATGCTGTATAATTTGATAGCCAGCACCAAGGAAATATGATTCTTATAACCAATGAAAGTTGATTATCACAGCCATTACAATAATAGTTAATATTTATGGAGTATAAGTATGGGCCAAGGAGCCCTAGAAGTGTAGTGTTATGAGTTAGACTGCTAACCTCAAAGTTGGCAGTTCAAACTCACCAGCTTCTCCAGGGAAGGAAAATGAGTCTTTCTGCTCTGCTAAAGATTTAGAGCCTTGGAACCCCGAAGGAACAGTGCTACTTTGTCCTATCAGGTTGATATGCGTCAGAATCAACTTGACGGGACCAAGCTTGGTTTTTTGGTTTTTTTACTTACTTGATGACCACATTTTACCTTCACAACAACAACCCTATAGAAATAAAGGTGTTTATTTAAAGCATTTTTTTTTAATTACAAAAATAGTATAGACTGTTTTCCACCACCCATCTGTCACCTCTTGGACTTGGGGTGGCTTATGTGTTCCTATGAACACATGTGTTCTTGGGGTGGCTTATGTGTTCCTGGAAGCTCTGCCACTGGTATTTCAAGAAGCAGCAGAATCACCCGCGGTGGACAAGTTTCCAAGGCGCCTACAGACAAAAACATCTGAGGAAGGAATGTCTACCAACCTCTGTCTGCAATTTAGTCAGTGAACGCCTTACGGATAGCAATCTCCTTTATATGGAGTTCCTAAAGGTGGCAGTTTGGTTGGCATCCGGAAGTGCTCCAGGTCCTCCTGGTTTTCAGCAAGCAAGGTTGTGTCGTGTGTCTATCAAAGGTTGTTGATAAGACTTGCTCCAATCCTGTTGCCATGACTTATGGGCCAAGTTTATTTGCTCAGCATATAGATTGCGTAAGGGTGGTGAAAGGGTACAGCCTCTGAGGCACAGAGTGTTCCTTTGTCCTGTGTGAATGACTGCCTGAGAACCTTCTCGCCCTCCCATCAAGTCAATTCTGACTCACTGCGCCCCTAGAGGGCAGGGTACAACTGCCTCGGTGGGTTTCTGAGACTCATTACAAGAGTCTCATCTTTACCCCTTGGGGCAGTTGGTAGTTTTGAACTGCTAACCTTGTGTTTAGCAGTTTAACATGCAACCCACTAAGCTACCTGGGCTCCTGAGAACCTTAGACAATGTCATTTTTTTTTCAATATCCTTTTTAGTTTATGCTGCTTTCTTCCTAGTATTCTGTTTAAGACCTTTACTGATGAATTTCCAGCGTGAAGCAGGAAATTGAAACAAAACACAAACTGATCTCATATAGGGGAGAAAGGATTTGTCAAAGATTGCGGGGTTAATGGTAAAAGGATACCGGAACGAACTTGAACAGAAGCTCAGAGGATGGAATGATTTGAGAACTCGAAATGAGATCTAGTTTGATGGTAAATAGAAATGGTAAATATGTGACACCTTTTGTGTTGTTTCTGATCCTCTAGGGAACTGTCACCATAAAGTTCGTTTTACCTTTTTCCCCATAGATTCCCTTCATCAGAATGAAGTTCCCATTTATTCCTAGTTTACTAAAAATTGTAGTTGAATGGTTTTTCCCTCCCTCCCACCCCACTTCGTGACCCCTTGATAAATTATAAATTATTATTTTTTATTAGTTAATGTGTTTTTCTAAAAAAAAAAATCTTTTTATTGGGCTCATACAAGTCTTATCGCAGTTCTAATTGTCTTGTATAAGCATCGATACATAGACAAGTGAGGCATACTGGAATTGTAAGAGTAGGCGGGAAATGCCAGCTGTGTGTCAGGAGTTGGAGGTAGGGCAGGAGAGTCTGAAAGAGAATACTTTAGCTTAAACAAATTGGTTGATGGGCTGATGTGCCTGTAACAAGTAACAAGTTTTTTTCCTCAAATGAATTGGCCATTTAGGCGTACCTTCAGAGAATTTTTAGAGAAAAAATTTTAAATGGAAATTTTGGAATTAAAAATGGCAATAACAGACCGCTGTCTCCCTTCACCCACGTTTCTGTTGTTCATTCCTCTGAGGGGAGGGGGTTTGCATCCATCATTGCAATTGGTTCCTCCTTCCTCTCCACTCCTCCCACCTTTCTCTCCCCTCCTGGTAGCCTACTCCCATTTCTGTTCTGGAGGGGTGAACTGACCTGATTCCACGTGTCATGAACTCTTCTCTGTACCGTAAACAGGTACAGTCTCAGAAACCTACAGGTGGTAGCCGAGTCAGCACTCACTCCATGGCAGTGGGTCTGGGGGTCGGTGTTTGGGTTGTGGTTACATAAGCATTGTTAATTGAGTCAAGCTTTCCCCTCTCTGGTGCCAACTCATAGCACAGAGTGGCACTTCCCTCCTGGCCAATCTACACCCAAGAGGCCCCTTAGCAGCATAACTTCTCGAGTGTGGTCTGAAGGCCTCATCAAAGATACTTCAGTCAATCAGGAAATTACAAAGTGTTAGAGATTGTAGCTTGGGAACCAATTACAAAGGCTAAAATATTCCAGTAAAATTAAATTCTTTGTATCATACCAAGTGAACATAATATGAGTGGGTACCCCAAAAAGCTGCCATCTTTTCTCCAAAGCTATGTATTTAAATCTTTTTTTACAAAACAATCTTATCACCATCAAAATACTCTCCATGACACTTCCTTGGTCAAATCTGCGGTTCCATTCTTGGAAACATTTCTCAAACTCACAACAGTCGGTGGGTTTTATACCATTTGGAATTATTTCAGTCAAGTTAGAAAGAATGTTCTCTTTAGTGCCAATCCTGACATGAAGTTTCAAAGTATACTGTATTCACCCTCACCTCTCTACTCAATCCTGCCTCCAGGCACACCAAATGCCAGCTCATATGCTGTGTTCCCAGATGAGAGACCAATGAAGTTTCTCCCATTTTATTCCGAGTATACAATTGTAATATTTAGATTTTTTTAATTGTCTATTATGGCTAAGTTTAATAAGACCATTTTTACTTGTAAATTGCCATCTGTATAGAAAACATACCTTTGCAATGAAGGATATCACCAGACCCCTTCTATAGATAATAACAATGTGGAAAAAAATCCACACAAATAATTGTATTATAGTTAATGCCTTTTAAAATTATACTGGGTTGTTTTGGTTGTTTGTTTTTCAGATTCCAGGGAGAAAAGGAAAAGTAGATATTTGTGTTTTAAATCCAAAATGTATCACTCATGGTGAACTATATGGACAACTGAACCCTAATACAATGGAATGGACTGATGGAATATTATCAGCAGTAATTCATAATTACGTACATTTTAATGTTAAAAGGCAATCAAGAAAAGACTTGGATCTGGGCTTGAGGTCAAGAATCTCAGACATAGCTAATGTAAGTTTATTATATAATGAGTATTTTTATTTGATTTGTGGAATATTCTATTGTTTATCCAAATGCTTGATATTAAAGCATTGTTAGATACTAGTGTAAAAACAAATTTTAAATTTATTATGAATAGTATAAAAAAAAATTTAAGGTATCAAAAGACATAAAATAGGCTACTGAGTTTTTAAATGTTCAGTAAACAATAGAATAATGTTAAATATATTTGCATTTAAATAAACAGATTAAATTAAATATAACTGAAAAGTTGTATCTAAAATAGTGATTCTCTTCATACCAATATAAAACCAAACTCATTGCTATCTAGTCAATTTCCACTCATAGCAGCCCTACAGGACAGAGTAGAACTACTCCATAGTGATTCCAGTACTGCAAATCGTTACAGAGCAGACTGCCACATCTTTCTCTCATGATGCTGCTGCTAGGTCTGAACCACTGATCTTTAGGTTAGCAGCTGAGCATTTAACAACTGTATAGCCAAGGTCCTCCAGTAGGAAGCAGGGAACTATTGCAATACTTATTTCTCTGGCCCAACTTCCTGGAGTTAAGTCAGATCTCACAAGTTAAAAGGCAAAGGTTTCCAAACTGTCAAGTCTTCTCAAATGTCAGTCGCGTGCTTGAGAGTCTCCATGTTGTCTTGGGCCGACTCTTTGGCTCAGTGCAAGCATCAAGTGTTGAAGTGGTTTGCTGGCAGACTGTCAATCTGCAAAGCCTTGGAGAAAGTTCCATTGCCACCAAGCCTTCAAGAAAATCTCTAAAAGACTAGCTGAACACATACATACTAAGAAACAGAGATTTCATTGCTATACATGACCAGGGAGGTATTCTTTGCAAAATTTTGAGAAATCACTGTGATTGTGGGATTTTGTATCACTTTAACTCATCCAACGCTGGTTTGGCAATTAGGGAATGGTAATCTCCAAGATGTGACCTAGCAGGAAAACCAACTTCCTTGCTGGGATCTGCTATGGGAAGGAATAGGGCGGGTGCAACCTCCTTCCTCAGGGCAGAGCCTTGATGCAATTGAAAGGAAGTTTTCTCAAGGGTGTGGCCTACTCCTATTTAAGCAGCCTTTGTGGGAAAACGTGTCTCTTCTTGCTAGTCTGGAATCTGTGTCTATCTCATCAACCTCCACTTCTTTGATTTACGTCCATGGCCTACCACATTGCCTGCTGGCCCTGGGAGCATCCCACTGCCTGCCAGAGAGCCTGCTGACCTTGGGTTCACTTGACCCTGCAACCACCAGCCTGACCTCTGACTTTTGATTCTTTCACCCCAACCTTCGCCAGCCTGTGGTCTGCCTGCTTCGTGGTTCATCAGCCCTAGCAGTTATGTGAGGAACAGAAAACCTCCAGCTTACAGCTGACCCACAAACTCAAACTGGATTGGACTTACCCACTTCTACAACTTTGTGAGCCATTTTCTTTATATAAATTTCTTTAACGTAAAAGAAAACACAGAAAACCTTAAAAGAGAAGAAAGTAAACCCAAAATTTGTGACAGTGTAATATCAAATGTCCAGATTTCTTATAAAAATCATAACACATGTTAAAAAAGGAAAAAATGATAAACTTTTAAAAACAGCAAAATAAAGGGTCAGAAACAGTCCCTAAGAAAGCCAAATAATGAATTTCTCAAACAAAAACTTTAAATAATGGTATTAGATGGGCTCAAGGAGGTAAAAGGAAACATGGACAAAAGAAGTAAAGAAACTTGGGAAAACAAAGAAAGAAGAAATGATAATATCAATAGAGATACATATTTTAAAAACAAACAGAAAACTAAGTTGAAAAGTATCACAAATGAAATTAAAATATCGTTTAAAAGGTTCCACAACAGATCTGAGCTGGTAGAAAAGAGTCAGCAAATTTGAAGATAGAAAAATCAAATATTGAAGGAGTGGGGGACAGGGGTGGAGTAATGCAAGAAATATCCAAAGAAGATGGAAGGAATACAGAGTCATTATACCAAAAAGAATTTGTCAACATTCAACCATTTGAGGAAGAAGCATATGGTCAAGAAGCGATGGTATAGAAAGAAGAAGTCCAAGCAGCAGGGAAGGCATTGACAAAAACCAAGACTCCAAATAGATAAATAAATAAGCCTAGACTCCAGAAATTGTTGAAATACCAATTGAGATGCTTCAACAAATATACATAAAACACTAGAAGTGCTCACTCATGTATGCCAAGAAATTTAGAAGGCAAGGCAGCTAACCAACTGTAAAACTGCAAGTGATCCATTGAAATGCAGAAATTATCTAGCAATAATACTAACATTTCACTCAAGTAAAATTATGCTGAAGATAATTCTAATATGGTTACAGCAGTATATCAACAGAAATTCAAGATTGATTGACAGTGGATGTGGAATCGTGGATCTCATTTGCCAATGTCTGAAGAATCACAACTAAAAGCAAAAGAACCAGAAAGATGTTACCTTTCCTTTACTGATTATAAAAAAATTAAACTTTGTGGATCATAACTAATTATGAAGAAAGGAACTTCCAAACCACTTAACTGTGCTCATGCACAAACTTTACATAGACAAAGAAGCAGTCATTTGAACACAACAAAGAGATACTAAGAGTTTGGGGATCAGGAAGGGTATGTGTCAGAGTTGTAGCCCTTCAGCATACTTATTCAATCTGTATGCTGACAAATATTCCAAGACGCTGGATTATGTATGGGAGACCACAGTATTGGTATTGAAGGAGAACTCATTAACAACTTGTAATATACAATAACACAAAATGTGTATCGAAAGCAAAGAGGGCTTAAAGGATTTTATTTAGGAAGATCCAAGAAAATAGCCTTCAGTGTGGATTATACCTCAACATAAAGAAAATAAAAATCCTCATAACTGGGCCAATGAACAACATCATGATAAATGAAAAAAATATTGAAGTTATCTAGAGCTTTATCTTACTTATTCCATGTATTCCATCATCAATGCCCATGGAAGCAGCAGTCAAAAAGTCAAACAACATATTGTATTAGGGAAATCCATTGCAAACGATCTCTTTAAAGGGTTAAAAAACAAAGATGTCATTTTAAGGATTATTGTGTACCTGATTCAAGTCATAATATTTTTCAGTCTCAATGAATAAGGAAGACCAAAGAAAAAACTGGTGCCATTGAATCATGATGTAGGCAAAGAAAATGGACTAAACGCTGAATGAAAACATCAACATTGGAAGGAGTATGGCCTGAATGCTCCTTGGAAGGAAATATATTGAGTCTTTGTGCCATGTGCTTCCAACGTGTTATCAGGAGGTACCAGTCCCTGAAGAAGGGCATCGGGTTTGGTAAAGCAGAGGATCCGGAGAAAAAGCGGACGATATTCAACCAGATGGATTGACATAGTGGCTGCAACAAGGGACTCAAACATAGCAACACTTGTGAGGCATAGGAGCAGGAAGTGCTGCACTCTGTTTGACTCAGAGTCACTCTGAGTCAGAACTGAGTCAACAGCAGTGCGCTCTGATTCCTGTAGTTTGCAGTAGGGTTTGATGTTTTGAAATGAGGGATTTTTTTTTTGAGGTGCTGACAAGGTGGTTCTAAAATTTACGTGCAAAGTTCATGACACTCTTAGTGAACCAGTACATTATTGATGCATAAACATGAGGGCAGCTCAAGCAATCTACAGGTTGATAATACATCAACTGTTTCATGGATAGCCTTTGACCCATCAACTAGATAATGCATTCTTCTCAAACAAGTAAGGATAATTATAAAAACTTACCATATATTATAGGACTAGACAACACATTCAAATAATTGGTATCAAGACCTTATCTCCCAGAGAGACAAAGAATAAACATATATTTGACATTTTAACATTCTCTCTTTGCTGCTTGTAATCCAGCAGTCACCGCAATTCTTACATCATTGCTCTTTTCATTTTTACTCCCCTCCATCAAGCAGGAAGTGGCAACTGTGTCCAAAGAACTAACCATACTTGCCATGCCTTCGGCTCACCCACTGGATAAGTGCTGTGTTATCCTTTTAGAGCATTCTTTGCAGGTCTGTCCTAACCCATTTAAATACCCAATTTTAATGGCTAAAAGCAAGTGGGATTACAAGCTCTCTATTTTCATACTTCTCAATAATCATTTCTATGAATCATTGTATCAATAACAATAAGCAGAAGGAAACAGTATAAACCTAGTACAGTCAGATCCTAAACTTGATTCTTAAAATAGTCAGGATCAATCCTCATCAATGTTATCGTAATCCTTATATGAACTATTCCATTGATACAAAGTATGGCTTTACGCCTCTGATTGAATCAAGCCATTTTGTCCACCATTTTGACCTTCTGTCAGCCATTCTCATTAAGCAGCATAGTCTCTGAGGAATTCCAGGAGCAATTTCATCACCTGAGCTCAAGATTCACGTTTATCACAATCATTTTCACCATTTCAGACAGGATTAACCAAAGACAGTTTCTAGGAATTAGAACTTTAAAATCCTATATGCTTTCCAGAAAACAGCCCAGTAAACTGTATGGCCATATCTGACCTCTGGCTCGTCAAAGAAGAAAAACCTACCATAAAGCAGAGGTCAAATGAGCACCCACTCTTCATGATTTGTTTCTCTAGCACACCACTCCCACGGTACCATAATGTGCTAGTCAGGGTTGACTAGAGAAACAAATCCAGAGACACTCATGTGTAATAGAGAGCTTCATATCAAAGAGTAATTATATATTAAGAAAATATCCCAAGCCAGTTCAGATCAAGTCCATAAGTCTGATATTAGCCCATATGTCTGATACTGGTTCATAAATTCCTCTTTAAACTCATCAAGCCATGCAATGATGCCAAATGCAGGAAAATCACACACCAGTGGATAGAAAATCTTGTAGATCCAATGGCAGTGGAAGCATTTCAGTGCTGGCATGGGTCTCCTTGTAGCTCCTCCAGCTCCAGGGCTCTAGCTCCATCAGTGTATCTCCACGTGGCTTGTCAACAGGAATGTCTCATA